ATGCATGTTCTAATATTTTCCTGAAATCTATTATCCACTTTCTGTTAATGTAATATTACCGATTAACCTTTCGGGGTCATTTTGTCGTGTTTAAAATATGTTTTTAAAATCTCTAAACAACGCTATGGAAATATTGTAGCAATGTCATAATTTAGCCGAATAGTATTTTTCTTATATCGCTTCAGGACGTGGGTGGTCATTGCTCTCCACAATTTCCTGTCCTTTGTAGCCCTTAGTAAGATTGTTCTTTTTGCTATCTCACATAATCCTTGTTCTGACAACACTGTACAAAAACTCGTTAGATCGGTTATGTGCTTTTTTCCTCTGTCCATCTTGGTGTCCTGAGTATGTCACATTTTCCAAGCGTTCTTTCCTTATTATGCGCTCTAGAAATTTCAATTGTCTCTTTTTGGTTCTATGCATAAGTGTTATATTCCGTGCTAATAGGAATATATATTTGAAAAAGGCATAAAATAAGTAAAGCTTTATTGTTCAAAGCTAGTACAATAAGAATAATGATAACAGTTATACACAAGGTCGTCACAAGTCAATCCAGTAGTGAGTGGTACTTTTGGAAGGTTAGTAGTTCTCGAGTAAGTCTGAGTCGTACTCAACAGAGTCCAGGTAATTTCTGTAGTCCGTTGACTTACAGATACTTATAGATAGTTACTATCTATAGTGTAGTCACTGATGGGGGTGACAGGTTATTCCATTACATCAATAAGCGACATTTTTGCTTCCATTTTCTATAAAACTTCTTCGTTGATCACGTGTTCAGTTCATGGTATTCTCAGTATCATTCTGTAGAACCACAGAAATATGGTTTCAAGTCTCTTCTTCGTCTGTGAGGAAATTGTTTAGCATTAACTGTCTAACAGTAGCACGAATATTAAATATCATCCCAGTACTCTTCTTTTTTTTTTTTTCGTTTCCAATGAAATTTTCATGTTTCTTTATACTTAGCTTAGTATTTGAAAGGCAACTTTCGCTATCCCAATGCGCCGTCGGATTTCGCTCTCGCATTTTCCATCCGCTGTTAAAGCACTGCCCATAAATTTAAATTCTTTCACTGGAGTTCTATTATGCCATGAAAATCAGCTTTTGTAATCCTGGCGATTGTATTGATTCAACAACCGATTATTTTCCATGAAATACGCTAAGATGTAGCCGAAGCATCCTCATTATATTTATCGCTTAAGAATTTAAGACGTTGTCTGCGCCTTAACTACTTCCTTTAATGTTTCTTCTTACTTCCGGTCTGGTCTCTTTAATATCCATCTTCCGCCTATTTCATCGCTCGTCTGCTTTGTTCATTTTACGGTTTTGTTAAAAAGTAAACCCGATTTTTATTATGATTCAGATTATCAGTTAACCTCATTCACCTTTAAAGATCCCATGAAAGTCATTTCGAATTAGAACTTCCGCACCGGATGTAAAAGCGAGCATATTACTCTGTTCTTTGAAAACTTGGGGCGAAATCTAAAAGCTTCAGAGATTTGAATAATACAAACAAAACTAGAGAGATAAGAAAACAAGTCCAACAAAATAAAGGGACATAATGGGGAAAAAAAAAAAAAAAAAGAAAGTATATCAGTTAATAATAGGATGGAAAACTGTTCGATCGAAAACACTGAAGGCAAACGGTAATGATTAGAAACAAAGAATTGATGTTGTTTCTTTTTTTTTTTTTACTGTGACAATTTAAAAGTGAAGAAAAACAAATTAGAACAAAATTGAACTGAACAAAAAAGAAAGACTTTATAAGAAACCAACTCAAAAGATTATCCATTGTGTTCGGTTATGATGATAAAACAATAACCATTATAAAAGAAATATTTTTTCATAAAATATTCACAAAATACAAGGCTTAAGAGACACTCAAAGTAGACGGTTACGGAATGAGAGTGTTGCATGGATGTTGTATGCTTGCAGATTTAGACTTTCAACAATATCAGCTGTACCTTGCTAATAACCACTTCAAGTTGAGTCGCCCTAGCATGAGGCAAGCTTGTGAACCCTCAAGCAAGGTCAATGCAAGCGTTAACTTATCAAACAGCTAATGGTCAGTGATCATTTTTGTTAAAAATTCATTCATCCAATATAAGGCCCAAGAGCCACTCATTGTAGAGGTCTAATGAATGAGATTCTTGTATGAACGTAAGAGGAGGACGTGAGATGTGCATATTATGGGGACATGTAGGATAGATAAAATTTGACATTAGACTTGACGTAGTATCTTCTTGGTTTACATATATATTATATATATATATATATATATATATATATATATACGTAAAGTCTAGTGTCAATTTTATCTTCTATCTATCTATATATATATATCTATATATATATATATATATATATATATATATATATACGTCAAGTCTAGTGTCAAATTTTATCTATAATATATATATATATAAATTTTATCTATAATATATATATATATATATATAATTTATATCTATATATATATATATATAAAAATTTTATCTATAATATATATATAATTTTATCTACAATATATATATATATATATATATATATATATATATCGAACTCTCCCGTCGTATCCGACGTATGAGGGTCGGAAACTCGGTTCCTAGGAACCTACATCCCAGACACCAGTACATGTGATTTGATTAAAGTAGTGAAGGTTTTGTGCAGAACCAACAACTCTTTTTGAATGGCTGAATACAGAGACCTGGTGCACACCGTGCCACAAGGTCTCCAAACTAACTTCCGCAGGTTTTGAATTCAGAGTTGTCCTTCTCCGAGACCAGTTGCCATCTCTCTCTCTCTCTCTCTGCAACTCGTCTGCAGTGGCTCTCTTACAGATGCGCCGTTGCCTCCCTCTGTCTTTTCTTTTTTACAAATACTTTCATGGTAACTGCTCAGATGAGCTGCTTTCGCTGGTTCCCAGACTTCACGAATTTAAGCGTTCAACTAGGCTGGCATCTCTCTCTCACCCTTTCACTGTCGAAACTGTTAAATGTAGCTGTCTCTTCTACTCCAATAGCTTCATGTCTCGCACTTTTCGCCTGTGGAACTCCCTCCCCATTTCTTGTTTTCCTGATAGTTATAGTCTCCAACTATTCAAATGTAATGTCAATCGACGTCTCCAGATGCCTTGATCTATCCCCTAACCTCCCTCCATCACTCCTCTTTGCTCTCTCTCTCTCCAACTCTCTGTAACCCCTTGCGTGCTAGTGGCTTTCCACCTTACTTATCATATAACGATATATAATTTTGTATAATTTTATAAGTTTTTTTTGTGATGTGTTTCATCCGTAACGATTTCATCGGACTGGGCTTTGGTGATGTTGCCACGTCTACACATGCGCACGAAACGAGAGACACTGATAGTTTCAAACTTTTTAAAAAACATATTGTATTTTATTGATGTTATAAAGTATACCATTTCCTTTCTAACTTCCGTTTTAGTTATTCCTCATTCAGGAACCTTTTCTAGGTTACAACAATTTTATAATCAATTTCACAAAGCTTCATAATAATGTTCAATATGCGGACCACCTGAGGCACGACACACATGACCCGTACTTTCACATAGCCCTGTAGAAAAAAAATCACAAGGTGTTAAGTCAGGTGAACGCGGTGGTCATTTCGACAGCACATTGTCATTATCACTGGCCCACCCGATCCATTACCCTGGTAGATTCTCAATGAGATAAATTTTTGGTTGATTTTGTTTAGCAGCATATCAACCTCTATGTGTTATTTAATGCTGAAATATACTTTCTACGTAAGTTTATACTTTCAACTACAAATATTTTTCACGTAATTTTATACTTTCAGGATAAAGATATATGTTTTAGAGATATAATTTGCAGATCATAAAATGTATTGCTGTTAATTTTACTATAAAAATGTATATTTGATATTTTTTTAGTGTGGCATTGATTGTCAGTTTGCTATAAAAATGTATTATTGCTCATTTTATTATGAAAAATGAGCTATTGGTTTTTATTTGAATGTTCAGGATTTGACCATAGCTGGGACTCAAACAGGTGTTACCACCTCGGATCATATTGGACCTAAGGACAACAGCAAATAAGTGATGGATTCACGCTCCTCAAAACCCACAACGGACCAATCGGAGGCTTTGATGTAGTCTATCGCCATACCCACAACGACAGTTAAGATGTCCGTACTGCTGACTTAGTTTTTACACATTTTGTTAAAATTTGAGATCATTTGAGCCCGAATTGGCTATGTTATTAGATTATAAAATCAATTTTTGGGGACACCCTATATGTTACGTACATTACATTTTATATATGTGGATTGAAATCCTGTTTGATTTGCCGACAAATTCCGAAGAATACTACTACTGCTAATTTTTATTATTACATTGATACGAATCATGGCAGTAATAATTGTCTCTGTCGAATATTATCGATAACAAGTGTGCTAATGATGTTCCTGATGATAATGAAAAGGTTTAATAGACCAGCACTGATGATTGTTAAGTAGGAAGAAAGTTTATATTGGATATCAAATCACCGTTCCCGAGGAGCGATTCAAAGTGCTAATTAAACTCAGCTAATTAACCTGAATCATTTGATCCAAGTTCGCAATTAAGCGAATAAATACGCACAAGTTTTCCCTGATGAAATTGGAGATCACTCGATAAACAAGCACTTTCAAGGTAAAAATAGTTAATGTTCCTACAGAGCAAAACACATGTCAGTTGTCGTGATTTCACAGAACTCTTTATTTGAGTCGACAAAATTATTTATGTGTACTTCCAAGGTATATTTTTATAGTATGTTAGAAAAAAAAGAAAAAAAATACACGTGGAAAAACTTCTCTTATAACGTACGTAAATTCATTTTTTATGATTTCACCCCAAGCAAGGTGATAATGTCACTAAGATGCAAAATGCTAGTGGGAGTGAAAGAAAATGAGAACACTTTAGTGCGGGGAAAGGAAAATAAAAGAACATTATTCAGGAAGACGGAAGTAGGCGATTGACGTTG